AAGAAACAACAAAATACAAGACTTCATTAGAAACTACCAACGAAATTCAAGAGACAAACTCACAGCCGCAAAAAAAAAAAACGAACTAAGACAACATGAAATTGACAGAAGCATATTCCCAAGCAGACGCACACCGTTACGCGTGATCCCATTAATAGATCTCCTTGTTCAATTTAACTTTATTCTTCTTCTTGCTTTTTCACACACACAGAGTGCACGCTACACACACACACACCTACTCACTTCCTACATATTCACTCATTCATCGCCTTTCAACAAGGCATACAACACGCAAGGATTGCCTTTCCGTTCGCACAGACTCGTTTTCTTCCAAGCTATCCCACAATCACACCCAACCACAGCGTCTTCTTATATAAAAAGTTAATTTCTGTATTTTTTTCTTTTTTTTGTTGCAATAATATTGTCCTCACTCATTGTATTCCTCTTATTTTCCCTTTCGGTTACGTTAATACGTCAGCCGCGTATTCCAACCCCCATTGCTTCCTTCCCTACGCAGTCATTTTTCTAGCTCCATCACTCCCTCGCCTCAACGAGGCCCCGAGCCATGTGCACCTGCCGCCACCTTCAGCCCGTCGCCGGTACGACTCTCGCACAGCAACAACGGAACGAAGAAACGAACAACAACAACACGTCACAAGGTGGTCGGCGTGCACGAACTCATGCGTCGGTGAGGGAGAGAGAAAGAGAGAGAGAGAGGGGGCGCCAGCAGGGTAGGAAACAGACAGAATGCCCTCAATGTTAGTGATAGTTTCGTTCCGTTTCTGATGATGTAATTTTTTCATTCTTTTTTTTTTCTTTGGGAGGGGGGGGGGAGAAGGTGCGGCGAAGGAAGACGCACATGTCCATTTAAAATCGCACCGACGTCTTGTAAAACCAAAAAAGGGGGAGGGAGAAGGCCAAAAACAAAAAAATCGTTTTCCTCTGGGTCTCTTAGAGGGGCTAATGGTGGGAGAGTCACGGCAAGGAGGAATACCAAAAGTCCATGAGAGAAACAAACAAACAAAAACAGGCAAGTCAAAAAACAAAAAGCGAGAGATAAACAAAAGGACAGGCATGCGAAAACGTGCATCGAAAAAAAAAAGGAAGGAAGAAGAGGAAATGAAAAAAAAAAACACACACAACGTTCGGCTTGGAGCAACATGTATGACAACAAGCACGCAGCAGCACTGAGGGGACGGTTTTTTTTTGTGTTCTTTTTTTTTTTATCTCGCTCAGTCAATTTTATTTTCGTGTTTTTTCTCGGGAAACCCCCCACTCAATGAGGTAAATTCATGCGCTTTTGCTGCTCATGTTATCGTTGTTGCTTTATTGTCGCACTCATGTTTTTAGGCCCATCATTTATCTACGGTACTCAATCGCACCTCTGTCGCACGCCCGCGTGCATCCTCACTCCCCCATTCACTTGCTTCACCCATCGTTATTCTGCGTCTTCCGTGCTTCAGCGTCTATTGTGCCAGGTTAAGCGAAAGCTGCGTCTCCATCCGTGCAGCCTCACTCAGCGGCAATTCATGCACGCCCTGCCTCACCCCATTCGAGAGCGCATCACTGGCTGCGTTGAGAATCTCGCTGTTGGCCCCACGTAGCGAGGCCTCGTCCTCATTGCTCCCCATCGCAGCGCCAGTACGTGCGTGTCGTTCCATCGTGGCAATCGGCGCCACCTCGTCAAACGGCGGCAGGGGCAGGGGGAGACGTCACGGACGCCGCGTTCACACTTCGCGAGAGCTCCACCACCAGCGGCATGCACGGCAACCCGTCAGTCTGGAAGTGGCGCATCTGCTGCGGCAGCCGTCTCACACTCTCGCAATATTCCTTGAGCCGCAAGTACTGTTCCATGTTCTCGGCGTACCAAAAACCATGACGGTCCATCAGCACACGACAACGCAGTTTGTGGATCAGCTGCCAAACATTATTTGTGCGAATAAGCGTGATAAACGACGTCTCGGAGCGCGGCTCAATAGCCACTACAGTGGCAATGTCAGGACCACATGTTGCCTCAACCACGCGATTTAGGACAATAATGGTGCGATCCCTCAATTCACAAGGAAACATTTGAATAAACACGGGCAGAACCTGCTCTACAGTCTTTGCGACATGGGAATCAGGTTGCTCGTATTGCTTGAGTGCTGCAGAAAGATTGTAAGAGTAGTAAGCACAAATCCCTTGAAGGCTTCCATGAACGTTTGTGCCAGAGCGCTGCCGTCCCGGTGGCTGGCGACGCTTTGCCAGCTGAAGTCGAATTGAATCGTAACTTGGCGGGTTGCCCCTTAAAGAAGCCTTTGAGGCACCGGAGCCTTCACCGCCAGTCTGAACAAGTGAAGAGATACTTGGAGAGCGCTGGTTTCCCTCTGCCGCCGCAAAGCCAAGCGGAATAGAGTGAGGAGCAGCAGCGTTGATTGTTGCTTCAAATGGCGACGGCATACCAGGTGTATTCGAAGGCATGTTGACCGGGGTTGGCGTTCTAGTCCCTACCACGGAATTTGCATTTGGAGGCCATGCGCCGCACATTACTGGTGTCATTTGTTGAGGCGCTGTAGGCAACGAAGAGCACGTCATTGTCGCGTTCACGTCAAATCCATGCTGCGGTGGTGCAAACACGTAGTAAGGGATCATGGCGGGTCCTGTGGTGGGAATGCACAAAGTTTGCGGTGAGCTACCTGGCGCAAACATCATGACATTACCGCCGTTTTGAGCAGCTGTAAAAAAGGCGGGAAGATTATTTGGCACTGCTGCAACTGAAGACGCCTGCTGGTATGCCACACAGTTAGTATTTGTGTTGCCATTAGGCGGCATCGTCGTGTTCCCGACAGACATAAGCGAGGATATGCTGAGTTGAGTGGTCTGTGGAGTATATACCATGGGACACGCCACGGGAGGGGTTGGGGTGCTATTTTTTGCGGAGGACATGTTCGACAGCGCGGCAGCGGAGGCAGTAGAGAAATGATGCATGCTTGGTGTGGGTGCAATGGTTGTTTTAGAGTCCGTTGTTAGGCTTGTCAGTTGCTCATCTTTGGACGTCATTTGCATCAAGATTGAGGTATGGGAGGGAGCAGCTTGAAAATCGCCGTTGTTGTTGTTAGTGTTGCTTTTGTCGAGGTTGTGCAAATTGAGTTCGCTTTGCAGGTCGGTGCCCAGGTCGGGAAGAGAGAACATGTTGCCGCTCCAGACATCATTTTGTTTGATCGCAGAGGTCGAAACGGCTTCCGCAAATGGGCTATCGGTGGTCAGCACCGACGTCACCTCCCCATTGTATGTCTGCGGAAGTGAATCGCCCAGATCTTGAAAACGCAGCTCAGAAAGCATCTCTTCTTATTCCGCTGCTTAATGATGTCAGTTGTTGCTTTACACTATACGCGGGCGCCCGTAGGTATCGCGTAAAGTGAGTTAACGCCAGGCTCGGCTAAGAGAAAATGCTAAACAATAGTATAACGTGTCACGCTCCAAGCTGCACACACACAGGGGAAATGGCTTTGTATTAATTCTTTATTTGGTTTTCGTTTCCCTATTGCTTCTTCCGCTCTTTTTTTATATACTTCTTCTTTTTTAAACCCTCTGCTGCCTGTGTGTTGTATGTGTACTTGATCCTACTCCCCCGTGCCGGGGCAGCTGTTACCACAGCGGGACCTGATGCTCTGGCTTGGTTGCTGGCACCTGCTGCTGCTGATGATGATGATCGTGATGTTGGTGTCTTCGTCTCGCCCTTTTTTTTTGTCACTTGTGTGTTTTTATCACGTTTAATGATTTTTTTTTTACTTTTTGATTTGTGTTCGTTTGATTCGCCCGGTTTCTTACCTTAGCGTTGGTGTTGTGTATTGAGTTGGCAAAATTTATTCTGGGTGACAGGCAAACAACACGCCGTGGAAAAGAAAAAAAAAGAAAGAAAAAAAAAAATAAGCGTACGCAGAAACCCTGTCGGTGGCCCCGATTCATACGCACACACACACACTGGGAGAACAGCAACAACCACGACAAGAATAACCGGGAATGAGTGAAGGACATTACAGAGTCACTACACAACACACCCAGACATGCTGCGCTACTCTCTCCCATCACAATCTCTGACGGTGAACGCAAACCTGTGAGCAGGCTCGCAAAGAAGCCACTCCCCATAGACACACGGATACACAAACCAACAAGAAGGAATACAAACCACATCGCTGCCGGACATGAAGAAGGTGTTTCGGTAGGACCAGCGCAAGGAGATGGCGGAGGTGTAGTGCAGTTCACAGCCGACGTACTCGCGGGGTTGAGGCTCGTGCTCACACGATGCTTCACTGGGCAGAAGAATGCCACCAGAGCCTTCACTGCGACGACGTAATTGCCGTTGTGAAACAACCAACTTCTCCACAGCTGGTCCTTCTTGGGGCGGGCATCCCTCACTGTGGTTCCAACACTCCGTATTCTGATGGTGCTATCAAGCGGTGGGGGCGGCCTAAGTCATATTTTATACAACTCGGCATGTAGGGGAGGATGAAAAGAGAAAGTACGTGCCATAACTGTAGAGGTCGCCCCCCATCGTCGTCCCCTTCAGTGCCACAAGAATGACAAAACAAAAACAAAGGCCAGTATGAGAAAGCAAATGAGCAGAAGCAGCCCTGGGTTTTTATTCCTGACGCCGTGCCGCCCTACCTACTCCCGCCAAAGAGGAAAAGGAGGCAAAACAGATCATTAATGATCTTCTGTTTTCCTTTCACTCCGTCTTATTTATTTTAATCCACTTTTCCCTCCTTTTTCTTCGCCATCTCGTCTCTTTCTCTCTCTTTGTTCCGGCTTCTTCCTTTGGTTTCTGCCTAGTTCACTGTCCAAGTAAACACAAATAGGAGGAGGAATTTTTAAAAAAAGGCTATGACTGGCGCTGACGCTTCAGGTTATCGGCTCGCTTTGCCTCAATACGGGGCCTGCACCATTCCGGGAAGTTCCGTCGCGCGTACTCATCCTCCGCATCCGTTAGCGGCAACAGCACCGGGCACACCTCCCGCAGCTGCCTCCCAAACTCCCCGTCTGTCAGGTTGAAGCTTGTTAGCATCTCCTTTGCAACCTTCTCATCACGACAGATAACAAAGGCTCGCCACGGCCTCGACGGCGCGGTCTCGTCAGGACCCTCCACCTTCAAGAGGGTAATGCCCCTCCGCAGCACAGGATTTGTGAGGCTCAAATTTCCCAGCTTCATCTTTATTGTCTGCCACGGCGTTCCAGGCGCTATGCCCTCCACCTTCAACGTCACACCCCTGCGCAGAAAGCGCCTGATGCCCTGCTCGTTCAGCTCTGCTAACGCCTTCTGCGCCCTCACAACATTTTTCTTCAATTGCATCTCCTCCTGCAGCCGGGCCTTTTCCTCGGTTTTGGCGCGATAGTCCTCCACAAGAGCCACATGCAGGCGGGGCGGCAAAAAGTGTTGCGCTAACGCTGAGGGTGCCTCGCCAAAGGAGATGTTCGCCGCGGCGCACGCGGTAGCCTCATCCACGGTGGCAAAGCATACCACAAAGCTGGCGTGGGGCTGTGTGTCACCGTGGGGCCGCAGCATGACCCTAGCATACTCAACGGTTCCATACGGTCGAAAAAAGTCTTCCACCTCCTCCGGTTTTGAGGCGCGGTGCAGAGGCCAAACCACAATACTTCGAAGAGCAGGATCGTCGTTGGGGTCTAGAAAACTACGCCGACGCAGACACCTCTCACCGTTTTCTCCCTTCAGAGATTCTACAATTGAGCTTGCCGCCGCCGCCTCACACAAGGAGTCAATGGTTTTTTCATCAACGGCACAGTTCACAAAACGCAAAAAGCTGGCGCACGTGATGGTTGGCGGAGCTTCAAGGCCATCGGGGTTCTTCGGCGACACCTTCTCGCGGAAGAAGGCGTTGGTCTGGTCAAAGAGGTACGGAGCACCAAAGTATTTCTCCAGTAATTCCGCTGCAACAAATGCTTTTGGCTCGCTCATGTTATGGTTCTTCTGAAAACCCAGTAAAACAAAAAGACAAAAAGCAAAAAAAAAACACACAGAGGAGGAAAAATGCTAAATAAGGAAACTAACAAAAGAAGAAAAGGTCGCAGTCTCAATGCCGTTCCAAAACGAGAAAAAAAAAGGGGGAATGGCGTAATGTGCACGCCAGTGACACGGTATTCCCCGTGCTCATCGATTTCAGTCCTTGTTATCTTTGGATGTTCATTGGTAACATTGGTTATGAAGTGACACCTGCAAAGACGCCAGCCTGGGTCTTCTTTTTTAAAACAAATTGTCGCAGTCGTCATCACTGTCGCCTCCACCACGATTCCTACGCCGTCTTCGCTGCGGATAGCGATCGTTGTTATGGTATAGCTGGTGCGCATGCTGCCTCGCATCTCCACCTCCGCCGTAGGTGTAGTTCCTGCCCATCCTTTGGTTGCCTTCATGCTCCCAATCAGCGTCACGGTAGTGCTTGGGTGTCCGGTTATTATTATGATAATGATGATTTCGACGAGAGGCCTCATCGTCGCTACGAGAGCGTTTCTTTCCGTACTGCGAATAATAATCCGCCCCCGTGCGAGCGGCGTTGTAACTGCTCTCGTTGTATCCGGCGTATGCCTTTCTATCATTGTAGGGGTGAGCATTCCTTGCGCAGTTCCCACCGGTGTTGCCCCCCTTGGCGTAAAATTCATTTGCCTTCATGTCAGCGTTCCAGGCACCACCACGAGAAGGCGTACCTCGCCCCCTCCATGCATAGCCCTGAGTATGGCTCGGTGGGGTATTCGCGGTGGCAAAGGTGGTGGAAACTGAGGGCGCCAAAGGAAAAACGCCACCATTCTCCCCAAAACGCATGCCGTACTCCGCTTCCTTTGTTCGAGTTACCCAACGGTCCGGCACCTGTTCCTTCCGCCGACGGCAGTCATAGGCGTTGTGTCCCCGCTCCCCACAGAAACAACACGAGGAAAGTCTTGGTTCGCGGCACGGGGAGCAATCAAAATGACCCAGTGAAGAACACGATACACATCGCACAGAAGACATGTCCTCCGATAAAAGAAGAGCAGGAGACACGATCAGGAAAGGTGAAGGACGTGGCTCTTGACAGAGGTGGTGATAGCCTCGTAGGGTGTGGCACGTTTTGCACAATGAATTACGGCACTCGGGTTTTTCGTGTCCCTCCATGCCACAGTTCCAGCAGACCTTTTTCACCCCTGTCGCACCCGAATCCCGCTGGTTGGTGAGGTCGTAGTAACGGTTGGGGTCACGCGCAGCCCCCGCCCTTGGCTGCTGTGGTGCGGCCTCTTTTTCGGGTGCCGTCGCAATGTCCGCAGCTGTCGCCAGTGCTGGTGCCATCGATGTCACCAATGGTGTTGGAAGGGCGCCGTCGTGGCCTTCAATAGGGTCCTTAATCTGGTGTCGCTGGACAAACGAATTCCTAGACACCGAGGCCGCACACTGCATTCCCTCTTTGCACTCGTAGGTATAACCGACCAAGACACGGTCGGCGTTGTACACTGGACGGCAAAGACAAAACTTCGCTAGCCGTCGGCTAGAGTGAATGGAGCACGTGACTAAATCATCCCCCCCGGCAGGAGGCGTGGGGCCTACGTCATACCGACCTGCCCGCATGCAACAGACCCTAACCCTTCGCTGTGTGTATTCCTTCTCTTAATAAGAGACAGTGACCAAGCAGAAAGGAGACAAGAAAGATACAGTCTTCGGAGCAGACTCAAATTTCATGTTGCCGTCTTTGTGCGTTTGTTTGCATCGCCTTGCATTTGCGGGTTTGTCAGGTGTGTGAATCCGCGTATGATCCCACACCGTGTCACGTATCCGCTCAAGAGCGAAGAAAAGAGAGGGGGGAGGCGGGGTTTTCAAACTTCAAAATAAATAATAATAATAAACGGAAAACAAAAGAGGGCGAAAGGGAGGGGTAAAAACTCAAAATGAAAATAAAAGCTTTTGCTCTACACGCCCGCCACTTCATCGTTTGCTCCACGTGGGGGCGCATGTTGAGGGAATCCGGCGATCCATCCCGCACTTTGTGATTTATGGCCCTCCCTTATCTCCACCCTCCCGCCTCTCGTTCACTTCCTTCCTACGCCCCGCTGGTCATCCCATTCGCGTCACCTCGCCCCTTGTGCACATGCTCGGCTGAACCAAAGAGCACGGAAACACGGGAGCTTACATACGAAATAAGCCAAACCGCGTTTCCTGCTGCGGCGCCATGTGAACTGCGCGCAGCGCCTGCACCACCACCACACGGGTGTCCTCTGGAGCTATCACGCCATCATCCCACAAACGTGCTGTGCTGTAGTAGCAGGACCCCTCCTTCTCGTATTTTGCCTTCACCTCCGCCTTAAAATCTTCTACCGCATCGGGCTTCAATTTGGAGTTTGTAAGCGCAAGTACGGTCGCGGCCTGATTCCCGCCCATAACGCTGATCCTTGCATTGGGCCACATGAACAAAAACCGGGGGCCAAAGGCACGACCACACATTCCATAATTTCCTGCACCATAACTCCCTCCGATGATAATAGTAATCTTGGGAACCTTCGTTGTTGATACCGCCGTCACGAGCTTCGCACCATCCTTTGCAATGCCACCCCTTTCATATGCCTTCCCGACCATGAATCCCGTGATGTTCTGCAGGAACAACAAGGGAACATTGCGTTGCGAGCACAACTCAACGAAGTGGGCCCCTTTAAGGGCCGATTCAGAATACAGAATACCATTGTTGGCAATAATGCCCACCTGCATTCCCTCAAACCGGGCAAACCCGCACACCAAGGTCTCGCCGTACTGAGCCTTGAATTCGTCAAACTCGCTTCCGTCAACGAGACGCGCAATCACAGCACGTATGTCGAAACTCTTCACAACGCTTGCAGACATGTCAGGTATAAAGCCTCCAATCTCTTTTGGGTCGTACAAAGGAGCCCTAAAGGACCTACGTTCCACATCTTTGATAACGTTTTCGCGGTTTAGATTTCTTACAATACGTCGCGTTAGGTACAATGCATGAAGGTCATCCGTTGCAAGATAATCCGTCACGCCACTTGTTCGGCAGTGCACGGCAGCCCCGCCTAGTTCCTCCGGAGTCACATTCTCTCCTGTGGCAGCAAAAACAAGCGGTGGACCGCCAAGAAATATAGTTCCATTGCCCTTCACAATGACACTCTCGTCCGACATTGCCGGTACGTAGGCACCACCCGCAGTGCAGCTTCCCATAACCACGGCAATCTGTGGAATGCCTTCAGATGACATATTGGCCTGATTAAAGAAAATACGACCAAAATGTTGCTCGTCCGGAAACACTTCATCTTGTCGACCCAGATTGGCACCACCGCTATCCACCAGGTAAATGCACGGTAGATGATTTTCCCAGGCAATCTTTTGTGCCCGTAAATGTTTTTTCACAGTAATCGGATAATAGGTCCCACCCTTCACAGTGGCATCGTTGGCCACAATCATCACACGAACGCCATGCACAACACCAATGCCAGCAAGAATGCCACCTGAGTGGCAGGCCTCACCAGGGTACAAATCCTGTCCAGCAAGCTGGGAGAGTTCCAGAAAGGGCGTCATTGGATCAATGAGCTTTTCGATGCGCTCTCTAGGCAGCAGCTTTCCGCGGCTGACGTGTCGCTCGCGCGCTCGGCGATCTTGTGCGGAGTCCCCTTTAACAACCACCTGTACTCGACGGCGCAGCTCCGCTGTCAGTCCCTCCATGCGTTTCAGATTTTCTTGAAATTCCGCGCTCGTTGTGTCGGCAGGGTAACGGAGCGCATTTGGTCGCATGGCGGCTGAAGCCGACTCGTACTGTGAAGGATGCGAAGCGTAGAGTTCCGATAAATCGCGTCCCTGCCCGTCCTTCACACCCTCCTTATTGATGTTGGAGTTTATGTCGTCTCCCTTGCCTGAGTTTGCCTGCGTCGATGCAGGCAACCCACTGCAGCAACGGGGAAAACCTGCGAGGGAAACCCAACCCATCGCGGCAAATTTGCGACGTGGCACATGGCACCCAAACCCCACAAAAAGACGCAGCATTTTTCTCGACCAGAAGGGTTTGTAAGTGCGAAAGAATCTACTTATTCCACACACACACACACACGCACAGACAGAGAGAGAGAGAGAGAGCTGGTCTGTTCGCTTTGGCCTATCTATTAAGCTTGACAAAGTTGTGGAGTTCCCGCTCCCTTGTTCCCCCCTCTCCTACAAATCAACACAAGCGAGAGGTTTCGCTGAGCCCAGTGAAAAACACTAGCCTCCCAACTTAGACGACAAAAAAAAAGATAAAAAGTTCTGGGAATATGAAGAAAAACACATGTAAGACGCAATGGCGAGAAGCCATCTATGCCATTCACAAGAACAACCCCTCTTTCCCCATCCACACTTTACTGAGAAAGCTAACACAACTCCTCATCATCCTCCAGTCTCACTACCTCCACTGCGAACCCTTGCTGCAGCCTTTCATTGAAGAAACTAGCAGCCTACCAGCAAATAATTTTTCTTTGTTCACTTGTTGCAAGTTTTAAAACCCCGTGTAAGTGCACCCAAGAAGGCCTTTTCACCCCTTCAACATTTCCACTACCATCAGGTACCAGCAATAACAACTGCATGCCCAGCCCCCTGCCTCGCTTCCATTGAACACCGTTGCAGTGTGCAGATGTACAACTGCCAAAAGAGGTGTTCCCCTTTTTGCAGTATGCCGTTATCATCTGCCGCCTCACCGCCCTGATGTCTACCACTCAAGACCGCAATGCGGCGAACGTGGTACGTTGTAAAACGCACGGCAATGGTGGTGGGACGGCCAACAAAAAATAATAATTTAAATATTTTTTTTTTTAAGGTCATGACCAATGACGGCAGAAAGAAAAAAACGAGACATGTCCCGCTTTCTGTCCACTCCCCCTTTTAAAACACGAAACCCCCCAAACCACGTTTCTCCCCATTTTTTTTTCTTTTATTTTCTTATTTTGTGTGTGTGCTTGCAACAATCCATGAAAGCCTTTCTTCTCATTGCTAGTATTTCCTCTTATTCCTACCTAGTATCATTTCCTTTCCCATCGTGTTACTCTTGTAGTCGGTGTATTCGCTGGCTTGTCACCCCCCCCCCCCCCTCTCTCTCTTCCTGTAGCGGGAAAAACGGAGAGAAAGCGGGGACTTCAGCGCGCCTGAGCGGCTCCCCCCGCTACACCTACAGCATGTACCAAAGGAAAAGCAGCAATGCCACAAAGGCTGCCACAACATAGGACAAGGGGACCATATCTCCCCCTGCCTTGTAATTCCCCAGTGGCACCTCATCCCGTAGCGGTTTCCGCTTCACAACAGGTGGCTTGGAGTCCGGATGCAGGTCGCCGACAATAAATTCCTTTGAGAGTGAGAGCGCCTTCGACGAGTGCCCGATGCTTTCAAACGAGCTGGTGATATCGAACCCCCCGAGGTCATTGATGGGGTCAAGCCCACCAGGGTGCTCAGACAAAAACTTCGTAACATCCAACACACGGTCGTACAGCACGACCCAGCAATCCGTATCTTTGTTGTGTTTGCGGATCTCCTCCCATGTATACTTCGGCACATCTGCCATTGGCATTGTGTGGGTGTCTGCCACTGTGGGAAGCCACAAATATGTTCTGAAAAAAGACTACGAATGCACACTTCTTGCGTCCCAGAACACGCCCATGCACAGAACAAAAAACAGCCAAAACAAAAACAAAAACAAAACAAGACAAAAAATAAACACGAGAAAGTCAAAGCACATATCCAACTTCGCTTAGTCTACTCTCTTAAGTAGCCAATACGTAACTTCCCACGCACCTCAAACACGTCTCCCCACATAACGATTCCCCTTGCAAAAAAATTTGTCCTCGTTTCAGATCATTCAACTTCAAAAAGTAATCATTGTTCCCTCATTCCACCAAATCCCTTTCAAAAAACAAAATCTCATTAATAACAAAAGAAAAAAAAGAACTTAACCACACTACATCCATGTATATCAGCGTCTTTGATTTTTTTTTGCATAAACAAGGCAGGAATGAATGAATTATTCCATCTTATTATCAACAATGGAATGTAGCCAGTGAAATTCTGTTTAAGAGTGTGTCCTTGCTAACCTCATATTTCATTTTATAGTTGTTGATTCCTTTCAGCTTTCATTAACAGTGAAATCATGCACCTTCTTCTGCACTTATTAAATATGTTCCTTTTATTTTACAATACATGCGGTGGAAGGAGGCCCTGCTCAACCCACCCCACGAAAAGCAAAGGACGGCGGTGCGGGATCACAGTGTGATTCAATACACTCGACATCCCCCCC